ATTGATCAGCATCATGGAATGGCTAATACCTTTAAGCCCTGTCAGCAACAACATCAGCAATATAATTATTTGCCTCTATGACCTATATAAATGGGAGTCTAGGGCATGTTGAAAAAGGATGAAGTGAGAAGAAAAAAGAAAGAATGGGGTGGTCAGGGGCAGGAGGGTGCTAGCAGGAGAGAGACGAATACTGAAAAGCAGGGTTGAAGGAAGCAAGAGCAAGCGCACTTGTTTGTATACTACGTAGTTTAGCGTTAGTGTGAGGTAGTTCTTTTGGTTTGGGTTGGTCGGTAACCATACGCACTTGTCTAGGGTCTGCTGATAGGTCTTGTGAATCACAGGAGAACATCTCCTATGGGATGGAGGTAGGATAGAACAGCATCTTGGAACCAAAGCCAGCCTGAGGTAGGGAGCTACTGTTGAGAAGAATCAAGATCACCTGAGAAGTCAAGATTAGATCAGATGGACGGAGGAAGTCAAGCCAGTGGCTCAAGCTGAGTCTGATAGTTCAGCTTCCTGCTCCGGATCTTAGTGAAATGTAGTGGTTTTCAGCAGGGATCTTGGCAACTGGGTCAAACCTCTGTTCCACCATGGACTTGCAGAGTAATCTTGGCAAGTTACTTAACCTCTCTGCTTTGATTTCCTCATAATATTACTCCTACCATGTTGGTTGCTTGAAGATTAAATACATTGCTTGGCATGTAGTAAAACTACATTCTGTTTATTATTATTTGTATATGTCTAGAGTTTATTATATTTCTTTTCTATTTCAGACCAAATGTTTTGTGTTCATTTTATATATGTTTTTGGAATCTTAGGGTTATTGCTTAAATAATAGAAAAAAATTTATGGAATATTTTCCATTATTCAATCTAATGAAATAATGTATTTCAAGATATTTTCAAAATAATGTGTTTTGGGTGGTTTATATGAAAGTCTCTCAAAATTAAATGGTTTAATTATGATTCAATACATGCCAGTCATTGGCTTGGGAGTCAAAAAGACTTGGATTTGAATCTTTACTCTGTTACTTAGGATCTCCGGACCTTGAGAAAGTTAATTAACCTTTTCTGAGCCTTGGTTTCCTAATAAGTAAACTGGGATACTTTGCACTTATACATAAGTGTTACACATAAGATTGCTATGAGTTGAAACCGACTTGATGGCAACTAACAACAATAACAACAAACTGGGGATAAAATGAATAATATGGGGCTGTTGTAAGGATCATATTAGATAATGCCTGTGAAAACATCTAGCTCAGTTCCTGGCTCAAAAAAAGCACTTAATAAATGTGACTCTCTTTTTCCGTGTCTCAGCTGGGGACATTTTGCCACCAGGGGGCGTTTGCAGCGTCTGGAGACATTTTTGGTTGTCACGACATGGGAGAAGGAGTTGTCTATGAACGTCTAGTGGATAGAGACCAGGGATGCTACTAAACATCTTACAATGCACAGGACAGCTCCCTCCACCCCGACAAAACATTATCTGGTCCAAAATGTCAATAGTGCCTGATGTTGACTTGATTCCAACTCATGATGACCCCAAGTGTGTCACAGTAGAACTGTGCTCCATAGGGTTTTTCAATTGCTAATTTTTTCAGGAGTAGATTGCCAGACCTTTTTTCTGAGGCACTTCTGGCTGGACTCAAACCTCCAACCTTTTGGCTAGCTGCCGAGAATGTTAACCTCTTGTACCATGCCTCCGTAATTTTAATCTTGTGCTGGTACACATTTTTTCACCAGTAGTATCTCAGTGGTTACTTATAAGTGTTTTATATTAAATGTAAGAGCTTCTAGCACTATCAAAATAATAATGGTTATAATAACAAATAATAATATCTACATTTATTGAGCACTTGCTATGTGCCAAGCCTTGAGCTAAGATATATGATTTGCAAAAGGTACACTAAATATCAAACAAGGACAATCCTTACAATCAGTAGTGTAGATTTTTCTAAATGCACAAGTATAATAAAATTTTACTTTAATGATGGCTTAAATATCAGGACAATCAGCATGTCTTCCAATTCTTATTGCTAAATCTTGACTTTACAATTTTCTATATTGCAATTTATCTATTAAGCCTGTGAATTCTACTTTAAAACTGCCTCTCAATTCCCTCTACTTCACTCTTGTCCCACTGCCATTACTCTGCTCTGCGCTGTCATCATATTCTCCTAAATCAGACCAACACCCTCCCTATTCCTCTCCTGCCATTACACTTGCTATCTCCTCTAATCCATGTTCTGCCCTGCCATGTTATTTGTAAAATAAAGTTGGGCAATAACATTCTTCTGCATACCATCTTTCAATAGCACACCAAGTTTCCCATGATGTGACTTTGTCTCTTGCCACCTTATCTTCCCACCCCAACAAATAATGCAGTTTTATAATCCCAGTAATTATGATCCAAGGATATTAATGCTCTCGAGAAACAATGATTTTTAAAATCAGGATGAAACTGTTGGGTTTGTTAGATTTTTCTTCTTGTGCTAATGAGTAATGCAAGAGAAATTAAAGCCTCAACTAATCAGTAATGTGGAGTTGATGTGTGGTCAGCAGGCAACTGGAGAAAGAGAGAAGGAAAAGTCATGGTTTCCACTGGTGTTCTTTTCTTCTTCTGATGTCAGATGTCGCTATTATAAGACCAGGGAGTGGTGAGAAGAAGAATGGAAGGCAGTGAGTCGATGCCAGAAGGCTCCTAGGGAAAGTGTAAAGGAAAGCCAGCTGTGACTCACCTTCCTGCTTTGAACGGTTTTTCCTACCTGTGGGAAACAGGGCTCCTTTCATGACTTAACAAGAGCTATCGTGAAATTATTGGCAGTCCTCCTGCATGAGTGTTGGCATAATTTGATGGAGATGAGTCTGAAAGAATGAGATGAACAGCACAGGTACATTTTACAGCTTCATAATTTGTGAATGTTGCAAATATAAAACAAAATTAAAGAAACTTCATAAAGAAACACGTTTTCAAACTTTGGATACAAATATAAAATAGCTTTTCTGAGATGTAAAAGGAATGCTCGCTCAGTCAGATGTGTTGGCTGAAATCTATTAATCAAGGGACAAAACGGTCTATTTAACTGGTAACAATAGTTCTTGTGATAAGCTTTAATAAACATATAAGACTAAATTACAATCAAGATCTTTTTTTATATATATAAAATGCTAAATACTTGATCAATAACTATTTCACGAGGATCTTCTCCCTGCTATATCCTGTATTCGATAGAAAGGTGTCATAACTACTGCTCTTAAAACCTTGGAGCCCTGGTGGTGCAGTGGTTAAGTGTTTGGCTGTTGACCTAAAGGTCGGCAGTTCAAATTCACCAGCCACTCCTTGGAAACCCTATGGGGCAGTTCTATTCTGTCCTGTAGGGTTGGAATTTACTCGATTGCAACAGGTTTGGTTTTGTTTCTTAAAAACTATTTTTCCCTCCATTGTATCACTCCCATGTTTCATCCTCACAGCTCAAACAAACCTCTTAACTTATATTAAGGTTATAGAGTCAATATTTTTTAAATGGGTATTTTTATGCAGAGTAACAGAAACATTTTGACATACTGTCTATATTTGAATACCCCATATCGTGTATACAATACTTAATGCTTCATTTGAGGAATTTTCAAGAGTACTTTTAACTATTTCCAATTTTCATATGCACTGAATTTAGAATCTAACCTTAATAGTAAGGTGCAACCCCACCATATTGTCAGGAAAGTGGGGAGGTGGGAAAGACAAGATACTGAAAAAACATAGTTTCTTTCCTTAAGGAAGATACAAAACTCTAGTAATCAAGTGGTTAATTGTACAAATCAAACTAAGTGTTGAAGGTTCATGAGCCTGGGGCTTGTCAGGAAAGGCCATGTTAAAAAAGATGAACATGTAAAGTAACAATATTGTGTTGTGCCTTGCCCTCTAGTTGGATGGGGTGGTAGCTGGTTATGAGCCGTGAGCACTGGGATTGATCTGGCAGAGTTGCCTCCTAAATGCATTCAGATTACAGAGTACTCAGCTAGGTTGAGATCTGTTTACAAGAAGAGCTTTGAGCCAGTGAAGAAGAGACGGCTTTTAGAGTGGGACATAAAGTAAAATGATACAAAATTAGACCATCATTCAAGAGATCTGACTGAAAGAGCTGGAGCAAGTGTGAGTTTAAAAAAACAAAAAGTAGGTCAAAAATGAAGCAAGAAGACAGTAGTGAGACACAAGGAGACCAAAGGATAGTTTCAACAAATCATTGGAATGGAGAAAACCTACCATAGCAGTACGATCATGCATGGTTTGGTATGCCTTGCTTGCCTGGGACTGGTCCTTAAGAAGGGTCAGAAACGTACCAGGAAAACAAGACATGCAGGTAAAGGGCAAACATGACTCATGCACAGATGCAGAAATGGTCTTGGCATTCATTATCTGAGGAGACAGCCCTTGGCACATAATAAACCAAAAAATCAAACCTGTTGCCATTAATCCAATCCGACTTACAGCGACCCTCTAGGACAGAGTAGAACTGCCCCATAGGGTTTCCAAGGTTGTCATCTTTAAGGAAGCAGACTGCCACATCTTTCTCTTGTAGAGCGGCTGATGGGTTCGAACTGCCTACCTTTTGGTAGCAGCTGCGCCACCAGGTCTCCTTTGGCACAAAACAGGCACTTAATAATATTTGATGGCAAATTAATAATATCTGGTGCCAGATCCCTGGAGAACCTATAGAGCAGAATAGGGAAAAATATGGTTAGAACAAAAGGGCTAGGCTAGATTAGAGAAGCTTTGAAAAGCACGCAAGGGAGTTTGGCCTAGATGTGGTAAGAGTTTATTTTAAGGCAGCCAAAAACGTCCTTCTCATCACATTGTCTTCAAGGACAGTCCTGATATAAATTTCTAGCCCAGAACAAAAGATCAAAAATAATTAATTATAGCAGCAAAGGTCAAACTTCTATGCCTTATTACAAATATATAAATTATTTTATAAAGCATATTTTTCTCTCTATTTTCAGCTCCATGGGATAGCATTTCTAACTAAAAACTATTGTCTGACAGAACTATATCTAAACAACAATGCAATATTTGAGATAGCAGGTACCTCTTAAATTTTCTCTTAATCGAATAAATTTTCAAGGAAGTAACTAGCAAACTTCAACTATGATATTGCTAATGAATGTAAAAATCTGTTTAATCATTTCTGTTGAAATTATGTGATGGAATTTTTACTTTCTAGTATTAGTTGCATTTTCATTTTAAGATGTGCTGTTAAATTACAGTTCTAATTCCTTATTTTCATGTATCTTATTCAAAATGCAAAAAAAATTTTTTAACATAGGACTTTAGCCACTCTATCACACAGTTGGAGACAAACTAGGTATTGTGGAATCATATCTTAACAATATTTGGGAGCATTAATAAATATAGCAGCTTAATAAATAATTTGGCAAGTTTCTACTGGCTACGATTTTTACCAGTTAAATTCCTATTTCCACGCTGAGTAAATTTTATATGAACAACAATCTCTTAGCTGACAATTTCAAGTCAGGTATAAAAATATGTAATATACCATGATCATGAAACATAAAGAAGTGTTATGTAAAAATTTTCTTTAATATCATATAGCATAGACTCAAACTATCATAATTTTTAAGGCCCACCATGATTTTGTGCACCACTAAGAAAGAAAAATCTTTCTTCAACTATGACATGGCTATCACACAAGCACATTCCACTTTTGTTTATGTTAAAAATGTAGGAAATGTGAATTTTAGAATCAACAAAAGTGATATGACCATTTGACTTCCTATTGTGCAAATAACACACTTGAGTAATTTGGAGGAAAGCACTTAATTGGATGAGGAATTATTCTCTCAGTTCACATTATAAATCTAAGTAATGGTGGCTAAAAAAGTAAACAAAAAAAAGAAAGAAAATGATCCCCCAAAGCCAAACAAACAAAATTATTGTTACAGAAAAACAAACATAAAACAATAACGGTGGAAAGAAATGGATGCTATATTCTCATATTGCAATAGGTTATCTGAATTTTTATGCTTTATTGTGTTCCTAATGATAGTTCAAAATATTATAAAGAATCAGTCCTCCTTTGACCATCTGTAATGTATTCTTTACTTTTGTTAATTGTTTAGTTAATGCTAGAAATGTTTAAAATCTTATGAAAATGTTTATTTTGTTTTTTGTAGGCCTGCACAGTTTGCGTTCTTTGCATATCCTCATGCTACACCACAATGAACTAACAAACATTGATGTAACAGTGAAGGAATTAAAGGGAATGCTGAATCTGAAGATCCTAAGTATCAATTTGACCTTTTATATGTTCATAAGTTAAAAATACAATAATGCAAGGAATTTTTCAATCTTTTAAGCTTAAAATTAGAATTGCAATGTTTCTATCTAAAATACTTAGATATGTCCTAAAATGAGACTGGATCTTATTCTTTTTCAGACATGCTTTTGAAAGAGTAATGGGTAGAAAAAAATTTTGCAAAACAATGTGGCATGTCAAACAAAAATGACAAAAGTAACAAAAGATTTACATGTTTAGATCTGTATTTTTGGTTTTTCTTCAAAAGTAAGTTTTAAACACATATTAGATGAGTCCATTTATATGAAATGTCCAGAATAGGCATTTCTGTAAAGTAGCCATTAGCCCCATCTTTAAATAGATTATTAGCATTTACCTATGACTGGAGGTGATAGCTAATGGGTATGGGGTACAGAATTTCTTTTTTGGGGTGATGAAAATGTTCTAAAATTGTGGTGATGGTTCCACAACTCTGTGAATATACTAAAAACCATTGACTTGTACACTGGGTGAATTTACACTTGTAAATGGGTGAATTGTGTGGTACATAAATTATATTAATAAAGCTGATACCAACAACAACAACGAAAGAACAGTTTTAAGCCTTCATCAGTGAGCAGCAAATTTCGTCCTTATACATATTGACTCACACTAGCAAGGAACTGGCCTCAGCTTTGGAATGAAGTGCAGAAAGCTTCCTCGTCTTGTGTGAAAGTATCAGAATTTGCTTGCATATGTGAATTATATGGCCCTTCTATGCTGAACAAATACCTTTTATGATGCAAATAATACATAGTTCCGACTCTCAGTGCTCAGCTGCTAACTGAAAGTTCGGCACTTCAAACCCACCAGCTGCTCCACGGGAGAAAGATGTGTCAGTCTTCTTCCGTAAAGATTTACAGCCTTGGAAACCCTTTGGGGCCGTTCTCCTTTGTCCTGTAGGGTCTCTACGAGTCATAATCAACTGGATGGCAACGGGTTTACTCTCAGTTAGCCGCACAAACATGCACACAACCATAGTACAAGACAGAGAGTTCTATGTGTACCAAAGACTCTCAGATCAATGAGTGGTTTTTCAAACTTGTGTTTGGACACTTCATTATGTAAATTTATGAGGTAGAGATTGTTTCCTATTAACATTTTATTCATTTCTCAGATTTGTATAAGACATTATTTTGTATACACACAAACTGGTTTCCATGGAGAGGGTTCTGAGCAGGTCAATACATAGAGAGTAACTAGAGCTTTCATATATTTTCAGTGCTATCAGTTACATTTATTGGATTGAGGAGACTTGATTCATGTGCTTATAGGTAGATTCTTGGAATCCAAATATGAAATCCACACCAAGTTTATGGCAATTCCATGCTTATTTTGGAGACATGATGAGGCCACCTACTATTAGGGATCACTTACAACTTTCTTGTTTTCTGAGGAACAAACAGCATTGACCTGCATATTTGAATTATCTGGCGGTTCTATACTGAACAAACACTTTATGATTAGAGAACTGGTTATGCTAGATTCAGAACTCTCTCTTATCCTCATTTTTCTTAAAATGGGGCTAATAGCTGCTTCTTAGGGTTGCCTTGAACATTAATATAACTCACTAAAACACTTTTTAAAAAAGTATTTCTCACTGTTCATATTATTTTGAAACAATAGCAAAATCAAAGCTTGTTTTATTGTGGATTATGTAAGTTATATAATGAATTAAGATACATGGCATCTAAAAATTCTGCTAAGAAGTGAATAGACTCAAAAAATATAGCTGACATTTTAAATAATTGTAATAACATGTTTTTTTCCTATATGTGTGAATGCTTGAATGTCTTTCTTGTAGAGAAGATGCTTCCTTACTGTATTCTCACTTAAATCTTCACAGCAATCCTATGATGAAACTAGAATTATTCACTCCTTAATGGTGGAAATGCAAGGCTTAGAGATTTAGCCAAATTACCAAGTTTGAAACTAAGTTGAAACTTAAACCCATGCCTTGTCTCACTTATTTATCATTTATTTATTCATTTATTCAATAAATGGATATCTTATTTACTATGCCACTCAGCTAGACAATGGGAATACAAAGGTGAACAAGAACGATCCAGTCCGGACCTTTATGGAGCTTACGGTTTTACAACTCTCAACTTAAATCTTTCTTACAAAGCTAGACCAGCTTGCTGAGAAACTGCTTTGTACAATTTGCTAAATGTAACAACTCAGTAATGTATGCATATTTATTTGACAAAATATCATCTTAATATTACTGAACAGTAGTAAACAGGGTTGTGGCATGAACAAATGTACCCGGCCCAGGAGTGAGTAGAGTCTGAAATTCAACCCTACTCAGACATGTCCCCCAGCAAAGAATTGTATGATCCTGAGGTAGAGTGGGGAGGGTGCTTTTCTAGTTCTTTCAGAGGCTCCTGGGCCTGTGGCAGCTTGATAAGTATAATGTCCACCTCTTTACCTCTCACCTTGAATGCTGATCTTACTAAGTAACCTTGGCCTAGAACCAATGTAAGTGACCTCTACTCAAAACCTTAGTGATGAAACTCAAGTTATATAATTGTTTCAGTTAAGAATCTTAGAGTAGTTAGAGTAGAATGGAGAGAATGCTGTGCCCAATTACCAAAATGAATTTCCTGAATACTCTTTGTAGTAAATATTGGTTAGCGATATTATATGGAAAAAATGCTTGCATTTGTGCAGTTAGGTCTTCAGATTAGGTTTCTATGTGTCTCGTGCAATCACAGATTAGATTCAGCTCATTAACTAAAAGGAAAAATCCACATATTTTCAAATGTCATAATTTTTGTCTTTTCAAGTTATAAAACCATATCAAAAATTCAAGGCATTATTATTATTCCACTTAAATTACAAGTTCTTCAGAGGGTGAGAGAATAGCCCGGAGGGTAAACCTCTAATCCATTTCAGCATTGCATCCTCTACTGGCATTTGTAAGGAGAATTGCCAAGCAATTGCCCAGGAGACATGCTGGGAGCTTCAGGGAGGCCTAACACTAGCTGCAGAGTGTGAGGTCCTGGTAACTGAAATTCCTGACTTCCCTGCTGAGTCAGGAAGGCCCCACCTCTTCTCTCCAGGAGGTCTTCCTTTCCACACCCTCCCTCTCCAGCTTCTTTTCTCTTTCCTTTCCCTCTTCCGAAGCCCTGGTGGCACAGTGATTAAGAGCTCCGCTGCTAACCAAAATGTCAGCGGTTCAAATCCACCAGCTGCTCTTTGGAAACCGTGTGCGTCAGTTCACCTCTGTTCTATAGGGTCGCTATGAGTTGGTATCAAAACGACAGCAATGGGTTTTTCCCCCCTCCATCCTCCTTCTAAATCAGAACACCCTCTTAGTGGCCAGTGACTTTTACAAACCTTTAGTCTCCTTGCCCCTTTCCCACCGCTTAGAGAGAAAAAAAAAAAAAACACGACCACCACCACCACCAACAGCGGCAACAACAAAAAACGTAACCCACTCTCCTGTTCCTAAACCTTTAGCCTCCTAATTTCTCTCAGATTTTCTCTATGTTTTATTAAGCTATACTGTTGAAAAAAAGTATACCTAGACCCTGCCATTCCATAATTTTTAAGACCACCTTTCTAGCAGAACTTGGAAGTAGGGAATCCCCCCTTTCAAGAGAGGGTCTCCATGTTTCTGCAGGTACGGCTCTTAAGCATGTTCTACCCTTCCTCATGGGGCCTCAGTCCACTGCTGATAGCAAGCACAGCCAGGGTGTTAAGAGGAATACTGGGATACCAGGATGAGATTATGATCTTAAAGATCTCTTCATTTGAGTCTTTTTACTTGACTTGCCCCTCAAGGTGAGACCATCCCTCTCGAACTCAAAGTAATCCACCAAATGAACAAACAAAAAGCCAACTGGGGGTCTTTTGCTGCTCTTTGTCCTGAATAAGAGAATGTTCTGCCCCCTCCACCCTCCTCATCTCCTGCTTTATTCCATTTTACTTCTTAAAATTCAGAGTTCATTTTCATAGTCTGTAAAAGCATGTGGTGTGTGGTGGCCCACAGATTTTATTTAGTTAAAATAGGATGGTGATGGCAATGGAGATGCTGACCTTACTAAGTAGACTTGACTGAGATCTTGATGTCTGATCGCGGACATTGAACTTTACAAGCTATTCTGTATAGGCACAGAATGTAACTGCTTTCCCCTCTCTCTCTTTTTCCCCATCTACTAAAAACGGTGTGTTAGTATCTCATTAGTTACATCAGCTGTCTTCAAAGGTGGACTTAAAAACATTTGGGTTCATTTAAATGATGCTTTTTAATTCTGCTTTAAAAGTTTAAAAAAGTTAACTGAAGCCAATAATTTAAATGACTGTATGTCTTATTTTTCTTTTCTCTCTCAATAATAAGTAGCTTCACACATGTAACTCATGTAACTCAAGCTTGGGCAGTAAGGTAGTAGAGACATTTTGATATATTATTGAGTAAATGTAAATTGCTTAGACTCAGAATCCTAAATTAAGATAAGCAAGACAGTGCTGGCGCCACTGAGGTGTACTCAATAAGTAGCCTAGAGGGAAGGTGGATTAAATAGTATTAACCTATTGAAAGTGAAAGTGTAAGCAATTTCACTTCATAGTTTCTAAAGGAATGCACCCATACATCATAGGAGGCTTTTAGAACTTTCAGACACAGGAAACTGATTTCATATCTTAGAAATTTAATTTACGGTAATTTTAGTAGCATCAATCCAAAACTCATAAATCCAAAATGTTAGATGTTTCATAGCATAGGGGGGAAAAAAAGAGTTGAAAATAAGATTGCTTCCTACAAAAATCTAAGAGCTAGAAAAAAAGTGAAGAATAATAAAAATGAAATGCCTTTCAAATTATATAATTCTATTTTTTAAAGTTAATTTAGGCAGAGGCTGGGCTAAAAGTTTTCTGACTTGCTGTCACTCAGATTTTACTTTATGATGCGTCGAATGGTGAATTGCCACAAGCACATCGAGTTTT